GGTTCTGGCTACCCTAAGTGGGTAATACTCGAGGACAGGTAAGACCTTCAGTAGCTTGGAAAAAATTTTAATAAACAGAATAAATATTGGTTAAAGAGGTTATATCGCAAAGGAATAGTGGAAACGATGAAAAATTGTATAAATCTTTATCGAACAGGCGAACGTTTAGAACTGGTCTGATTAGGGTCACGCAGGTCACAGGACGTCTCCAGAAAACAGGAGACAAAAGACAAAACGCAGGGGAAGGAATGTAGAGTCCCCACACATCGCTAGGATGTAGAGTTTATTTTACTGCTTAGTTTTTACTACAACAATATTAGAAGTAGCAGGGGTTTAATTATTCCGAGGTATTTTAGTTTTGTGTACTTAGCTGCTTCTACTTGGAGAACGTGGTAGGTCTAACAAACAAGTGGAATGATCTGGCCAAAGAAGCACGAGAAGATTATTGATACGAGATTAATTATGTAAGAAAAAATTATGCAAACACGAACCTTGTCAAAAATATATATTTCCGATAAGATTCGAAGCTGAATATTATTTAAATAGAATAATTGGCTGAGTCGAGACTACGCCATTTTATTCGAAACAAGAGACTGAGAATTTTAATAATATTAATATTTAAAGTAATGTAAATATTCTAACTAAATTCAAACTATTCTAAACTCAATGCAAAAGTAAAATATTTTTTATTCGCTATGATACATTGACATGATAAATTATACGAAATATGTTACTTTTTAAACATTTCAGCTCAATTATTAAATATCTAAAATAATTTAAATATTCTACTTGAAAAAGTAAAATATTTTTTATTCTCCCTTCTTTTTAATATTATAAATTATCCAAAATTTGCTACTTTCTAAATATTACAGCCCACTCATTAGATATCTAAAATAATCTAAATATCCTATCTGCAAAAATAAATATTTATTCTCGTTTCTTTTTAATATTATGAATTATCCAAAATTCGCTACTTTCTAAATATTGCAGCTCACTTATTAAACATCCAAAATAATTAGAAAATTGTACCTTAAATTATTCTAAACCCAATGCAAAAGTAAAATATATTTTATTCTCTCTTCTTTTGAATACTATAAATTATCCAAAATTTGCTACTTTCTAAATATTGTAGCCTACTTATTAAATATCCAAAATAATTAGAATATTCTATCTTAAATTATTCTAAACCAAACACAAAAGTGAACTAGCTTTTATCCTCTTCTTTTCTTCTTACTCTTAAAAAATTACCCAAAATATTCTACTCTTAAAATATTTCAAATATTGCAGCTCAATTATTTCAAACCTAAAGCGAAGAAAAATATCTCTTATTCTCCTCTCTTTTCCCATTTTCACAGCACGCGTTACTCAGCCCACGATTTCTGGATAATCAACGTGGAGAAAAATTCCTGAATTACTCGCACCTGGTCGTGGCGCATCATCAGCGCCGGACACCTTGTCATCGATACTCTCTCTTTGTACACGTAACAAACTATCAGCGCAATTAAGTAAATGGCCCCAGCTGCAAGCTAGGCGACAAAAGGGAAGACGACCTGCGTTCGTGGCGACGAGACACGCATCGGAATACACAATTTGTGTGTCTTCTTCCTTTGAACACGTCCACCGGGTGTCAGTCGCGCGTCACTTAGCCGACTATTTTATCCTTCCTCCTTCCCGACTTAGACGCACCGACGCGATTATGCAAATGCTTATTCTCGCTTTTCGCGTGCACGTGACAGACTTGTCAGTCAACGTTCGCCTACTGGCCAAGTGTCATAGTTCAACCGAGTTCAGAAGATTCGCTGTGCCTCTAATAGGTTTCCGTGACGACAGGATTCAATTCTCGATGGCGCGAGGAGATTTATGAAGTAGCCGATTCGATCTTTTAATCTTCCGCTTTTGGAAAGCGACAGGCAGGTTTACTACGATTTCAACGTCGATATCAAGTTCAAAATAGTATCACGATACTATTAGCGAAATATGGAAATGATTCCATATTATGGTATTGCAAAACAAAAAAGAAAAAGTTGCTGTGCAAGTATTATATATATATTTTAATAGTTAATAGTTAAAATTTTTTAAAATAAGTGGTAATAGAGGAACTATCTTGTGAAGTAAATTTCAAATAAATTACTTAAAATAGTAGGGGGTTATTGACAACAAGATTGCAAAATAATTCGGGTTGCAAAGGGTTAAGAGACCTAAAAATTCTGAAATGTTATTCAATTCAGGTACAATAGACTAGTGAAATAAATTAATTATTAAGTATTATATATATATATTTTAATAGTTAATAGTTAATAATTAATTTATTTCACTAGTCTATTGTAGCTGAATTGAATAACATTTTAGAATTTTTAGGTCTTTTAACCCTTTGCAACCCGAATTATTTTGCAATCTTGTTGTCAAGAGCCCCCTACTATTTTAAGTATTTTGTTTGAAATTTACTTCACAGAGTAGTTCCTCTACTACGACTTATTTTTAAAAAATTTGGTTACTAATTATGTTAAATATAGTTTTTAAACATTTTGTAATTTATAATTTGAATTTAAGTAATAGTTAATAGTTAATAGTTACTTCATTGGTCTATTGTACCTGAATCGAATAATATTTCAAAATTTTTAGGTCTGTTAACCCTTTGTACTCTGAATTAATTTTCAATCATGTTGTCAATAGCTCCCCCTACTATTTTAAGTAATTTATTTGAAATTAACTTCACAGGATAGTTCCTCGACTGCCACTTATTATAAAGAATTTTGTTTATTAATTATATTAAATATATTTTAAAACATTGTTGTAATTTATATTCTAAATTTAAGTAATTCAAATATTTATTTAGTTTCTATTTTCTTGTTCTGTAAATAAAGAATCAAAGGACGTCGACTGTAACTCGACTAACGTGACTAGAGTTACCTACCTATGATCAGTATCTATAGATATTTTACATAAATAAAGATAATTGTACTGGAACGAGAAAGAATATCTATAAATAATTATATTTCAACCTGAACGAAAGCGAGCATAAATTTTGTCAAAAATAGTTTGCATATTCCCAGAAATTTAAAAATAGAATATCCGAAATGAGTCATTTTCACCTCTTTGGCAGTTCTAGTGTCAAATTCTCAATCCTCGATCATTATAATCAGTACCACGTGAAATCTTCCCGATTAAAGACGTCAGTATCTTCAATAAGGAACCAAAGATCAATGTCAATTCTAACGTAGTACTCTTCGAAATTCTATTTTCTTCGTTCAAAGATTACCATAATCTCTCTCTTTCTCTTTCTGTCCCGTTCGATTGGAGATGGCAGCGGTATCAGGTCGAAGGTGACGATAACTCAAAAAATAAGCGTTTATCGTTGCATCCAAGACGACGTTATCGCGACTGCTACATTATAGGTGAAACGACGTTTATTAATACGTTCCGAAGTCGGTCCCGGTTACTCAGGGGTCAAGATTATCGAAATGGATCCAGCAACCTTGAACTGATCACGTGGGTGATGGAAAAATCGTCGGACGATTCCCAAGAACGAGTCGATTCGTATTCGCAGCAGAAAACCATGACGAATTCGACCCATAAAGCAGAGAAACGAGATATCTAGTCCAACAGACATAATGCTAACAAAATTTATGCTTCTTCGTTAATCGATCGGTTCTGGTACTTTCAAAGGTTTCGTTTTCGATCGAATAATAACAAATTTTCTAATTCGAGTGGACAGTGTCACTTCTTAATTACCAAACCTCTGCCAAGTCTCAGTTTCCCAACCTCAGATCCATCAAAGATGCGAATCGCAAAGAAACGGAAGAAAAAATAAAATTTCGTGATATAAAAATCGAATTTCAAAAGAGTACTGAAAAGTACAGGATTTATTCATAGATATTCCCATAAAATTAGGAAATTTTATGAAATTTAATAACAATCGGTTACCAGGAACAGTAACCTAAAACAGGGGTTCCGACGCGCAACTTTGGGGAAGTCTAATCGGTATTCGAGACTTCTGAGAGTTTATTAACCCTTTGCACTCGACGATTTTTTGGCTAAAGAAGAGTAGGAGTTCAAAGATTTTCTGCTATAAAGCTGACGATATTTTTTGGAGCAGTAAATAAGAATTCGTATAATAATTAACACCCAGAATTATTTGATTTCGCAACCTCGCACACCGTTACATTATCTTAAATTTGACATATTGATTGATATCAGTCTTCGAACTTTTATAAAATGGCGACTGAAGGGCGCCTCTAGAGTGCAAAGGGTTAATTAAGCTAGACCTGGTTAGGGGTGAACTAAAGAGTTCTGACGCGTGACTGTCTCTGGCGCTGAGTCGATCGTCGTGGGTCTGTTTGAACTGCCTGGTCGTGATGCTTGTTTTGTCTTCTTGGGATTTTTAGGAGGACTCTCCTCGTGACTGCTGTCTCGGTGATTTTATAAGTTTGTATGTCTACCGATCGATTGGTGTGAAATGTAAGTGGTGGGTGTGTGTCTTCCTACTGATTGTGAATAATATTGGGGGTGTGTGTTAGCTTCGACGTCTTTAGGTGGTGGTGGATGTTTAAACAATTTAGGTCCTCATGCCTATCGTTTTAAGGGTGATTTATTGACCCTTGCTAAGGTCCATCAAGTGGTGACCAGGTGACGAGTGTGCACGAGTCAAGGGACGCTGGCAATGACATGAAACAGTCCTCCACTTAACTTGGGGCGTTCGGTCCCAATGAAGAATTCGTATAATAATTAACACATAGAATTACTTGATTTCGATACCTCGCACATCGTTACGTTATCTTAAATTTGACATATTAACCCTTTCGCTTCGGCAATTCAGTCCACCGAAGTACCGTCACTAAACAGAAATGTGCATCCACAAGAATTCTAGTGGATGCCGCCTATAAGCTAAAGGGTTAATGAGCATCGATCTTCGAAATTTTATCCAATGGCGACTAAAGGGCGCCTGTCGAGTGCAAAGGGTTAAGAACGTTAGTGAACTTGTTGGTAAACCTTCGACTTACCTATAGACCCCATAGTGCTTGCCACTGGCCCGGTCACCGCAGATCGAGCAGAGGTGCTTGCTTCCGGAAAGAGGGTGGTTCGGCGGGTAGGGTGCGACTGCTTTGTTCTGGCCACTCGGCGACGTGCTCAGAAGGTTGCTGTGACAACCAGCGGTGAAGGATCTTACATGCAAAGAAGAGAGTAACAAAAACTCGAGCTACCAAACTACTGCCCCGGATCGAGCAAAATACGTCTTCGAGAATCGCGAATTTTCGTATGGAATATACGGTCTCTTTAAAAATCGAACTATAACACGTGAAACGTCCATTTCTCTTCAGTGATTCTCAACCGAATTCGTGGCAGAAGTTATTCAACTTCGAAAGTGTGATTTTTGAAAAATCATTTTTACGAGAATTTTCGAATAATTTTGGAAAGTTTGCAAAGGTTTTGATAGTAGAGGTCCGATGAACACAGAGGCTGTTCGTTTGCGGACTATCGACGTTTTATGCGTTACTAAGTGGCAACAAAGCAGTAGAGTGAGAATAGAAGGAGAAAAGTATCTTGCTCGATTTCTACAAGGGCGTGACTACGCTCATAGTATACCCTCGATTTACGACGTCTTTCGCCAGAATACTATTTTCTTGACATCTGTCCAACTGTCACACATTCTGTTCCATCGATGCATTGGCAATTGTTAGATCTTAAGAATCAATCGGCTTCTGATGGTGTTACTTACCCCGGACTGTTGGGTCCGGACGGGCTGAAGTTTCCTGGATTGATGAGGTTTCCTGTTTCAGGTTTCATTTCCAGCGGACTTTGTGGGCCTACAGAGGACATGGACATATTGCTGTTGTCCAGACTTAGCCCTGGAACAAACGAATTTTTCTATGGTTAGAAAATACCATAGTTCTCATCTATTTCTTATGCTAACTCTGTATTCTAATTTTTCTAAATAGGAAAATTAATTCTTCTTCTTTAGAAAATTATAAATTTGTTATTGAGAATGCTCCAGGTTCTTTCTCAATTGGGTAGTAATGAAAGTATTGGGAATTTAAGTTAATACCGTGACTCCTATCTTTATAATTGTGCAATCTATGGTGTAAATATAACAGGTGTTAGTGTAGTAACAAAAGTATTGGGAATTTAAATTGATACTGGGACTCCATTCTTTAGAATTGTGTAACCTATGATGTAAATATAAGACGTGCGAGTGTAGTAATGAAAGTATTGGGAATTTAAATTAGTACTGTGACTGCTTTCCTTATAATCGCGTAATCTATGATGTAAATATAACTGATAGTTATTATAGTTATTACAGTAAACATAGTAAATATAGTCTGAAAACAGTGGTCGTAAAATTATTGAGGAGTGAACACTGCAAAGAAATTGTGATAAAGAGTAAGAGAGTGAGAGAGAGAGATTTCTAGAATTATTTTTGGATTTATTGCTTAAATATTTTATGCTTAAATATATTTTGAATTTTTCGTTAATAATAGCGCGAGATACTCTTGTCCCATTTTACCCACAAATTCGTTTCCCATTTTCTTAGCATCTGATGTCACAAAATGTTGAAATGACACGCATGTCCCAAATAACGTTACTTTCTAACGCGTCACGGAATTACACTTTTACCCCATTAATATTCACAACACGACGTCCTTTTACTTTCAGCCTCGGCCGACCGAGATTCCCATTTGCCGACCGATCGAGGACGACTCGTCTGATCCACGTTGCAACCACGTTAATTATCGTTAAGCGACTCCGAGTCACAGTTTACAGTTACAGGAAGAATAAGAATTGGCAGAAGTTAATCATCGCCGTTGTCATTTATTCCATCCTACGTCAAACCTCTACATACGATTAGTATCAAAAGTTCTCGGAATTGTAAAACGAGAAATTAACTTCCAACGACAAAAGAATACTCATTTTCCATCGCAGTTCTTAAACGTAAAAGAACTTTGATAAATTCAATCTTTATTCCACTATCACTCGAAATTATTGTTCGAAGATCATTTCCGAGGCTTTAAAAATGAGTAATAAAATAAAATAAGCTAAGCTTATCAATTTTCATTCGGTACTATAAATTTTTCGGAAGCACCGTTTTATTTAAAATAAAATGATAATATCCGTGACTATGATAGGTGAGAAAATGGCGAAAATGTATCGCGGACAGTGCATCGGAGTGTCACGTTTCGGCGAAAGAAGCAGCACGAGGCGAGTCGCGGTACAAATTGCTCGTTTCTCCGCGTCGTCCTCGTAATTCGCGTCGTTCCATCATCTTACTCCGCCCTGTGTTGTCTCGATGCTTTTTTTCGCGCTCTATTTCGAGCATAATTCGCGATGAACCACGCACCCGTCGAACAGACATTCGTATACACGCGTGGCGGGTTTTCTGTCACGGCGCGCAGGATACCAGAAGATAAACGACGTTTTAATAGGGTTCGGTCGGGCACCAGGGCCCTCTGCCATCATTGAACGAAAGGAAGAGGGGTGTAATGGTTGGAAACGACGAAGGAGACGCTGCAGACGCAAGTAGATGTGTGTAAAACGAGGGAGAGCCAGGGAGATCCGGGGAGAGCCGGGGAGAGACCGGGAGATCCCCGAGTCCCTAGGACGTCGTTAAGTGTATCAGTAACTGTAAATTCGACGTCGTAACTCCATCCCTCCGTTATTACATTGTATTTCCTCCCCTTTGTATTTTATTTCCATTTTCCCATTCTTCCCGTCTCTTGCAATACATAAAGAGTGGTTCCACGTGTGAGAAGACGTGTCTTGGGCTACCAAATACACGAACGGTGGTCGAAGATCGGTATATCGCAATTTGTAGCATATAAAAGAACGTACACACAGGTTTTACGTGTCTGCTAACAGTTCACAGACAGGTGACGAAGTTTCACGAGTTATACGTATAGACCAGTGTGCAACGTGTCATACGCGACACCCGATATAAGTACCAATATTCGCCATACGAATTCGCGTCATACGTGATCCTAGTTTCGGAACTGTTTGCGAACAATAAGATTGTACATGCCTTGATCCGTTCGTTAAATTTTCGTTGTATTTTCAACGTTGTACTGAATCTGACTGTCATCCAACGTCTGACTCTTTCTGTCAACGTGGTCGATAACGAATTACCGAATAGAGGTTATCGATGTCCTTTCTCTCGCTGACCAAACCGATTCCGCGAATCGGAAGTATTCCTAGACTGCGCCAGATTTCGGCCCACCTTCCTTCGCCTTTGCTCCTCGCTAACCTTGCAACAGGTAATTTCCACGGGACTTCTGACGTCACCACCGAGCACACACGCGTCGCCCTTGACACACTAGCCCGGACAGAGTCGGATTACCCGAATCTTCTGGAAAATCGATCTAACAATCGACAAGCAGGACAAGTTGACAGCGTGTAGGCGTGGGAATCCTCTCGTCCCGGCATTTCTACGGTTTTCCACATCAACACGACCTGGAAGTCCACTTCCACGATAGCCATCTAGGATCGGCTAGTCCACCGAGTGAAAAACGGATTCGAATTCGTTTTCGGATTCGTTCATCGCGAGCAGCCGGTTCGTCGACGACCTTCGGTCCGTTTTGCACGCCCGACGATTGCGTAATTAATGCAAACGGCGCAACGGCGTTTAATGAACAGCCGCGATGAGCGACGCGCAATCGGCGACCCTAACACTCGAAATAGAAGTCGCCGAGGAGAGTTACGACCTCGGTGTAATTATATTTTCCGCGGAAACGCGTCGTTGATGAGCGACCGATATCAGCCGGCGGCGGGTCGTCTAACCTTTTAAGTATTCTCCTCCGAGCGATTAACCTACTGAACCGAGTTTTCTCAGGAATTCTCAGCTGCCTTTGTTCTCGAATTCTTTCGCTCGTGCATTCAGTGCAGGGGGTAGTTACGAGATAGTTGACGATAATTTTCGAGTTGACGTTGCGTTAGCTTGCTCGGTGGACTGTCTCTTAACTGTGCACGCGTGGCATGACAGTGTGACAGGTCATTCGTCGTATCTTAGGATCTCTATACAGAGAGGCCTAACTACTTATCAAAAAATAGCCTCGGTACCTATCAGGGTGACCAGGAAACTATAGAATTGCCAAATTTCATCCTTCCTCTATACAAAATTACAAATAACGAAGCAACTTCGAATGCACCAAGGTGCACTACAGTTTTGACAACGTCTAGCGTCCGAAATACGAATATTCGGAGCCATCCGCGAATTTTCATACCTCGCAAACTCTAGCAGCCATCAGGAACCACGTGCTAGCGAATTTCCGTGGAAAATACAGAAATAATCGCAGCGAGTTCTCACGGAACTAAGCGTGCAGAAGGTCAGAGGTCTATAGCCGCACCTATGGCCGATCGAAACCGCGATCGGGGAACTCGGGCGAGTTGTGAACGCGGCTTTAGCCGTGGCAAAGAGGGCGGGAGACGAGGACGCGAAAGTGGCTGCAAGGCCAAGTCCGGTGACGGTATATTATACCGGCAGTGTCGGGCACCTTGACCAGGCGCAAACACGCTGGTGCAACGCTCCAACACCGTGTTGCACACAGCTGCACCGAAACGTGCACACGGTTCCACTTGCCGGGAGTTTGACCATTCCGCGACGGCAACGCTAATATCGCGGTCCGAGGAAATTTACGGGCCAGGCCGTTGACACGAGGACTTTAGGCAGGATTATTCCAAGTGGAACGTCCATGGTCGGAGGCGTTGAAAGCCTCGTCGGGTTTATAGTTTCGCTCCAACTCGTAACGTCACAGGGGTCTCGAGCATTAGCCGACGTAGACCCTATTTGAAGATCGTAAAAACGTACTTAACGTCGAGCGACATCGATCGTGGCCCTTGATTAATCGAGCACCCTTCAACCCTTTAACGATGCCCATCGTGTTCACGTGGCTTCTATTTCAGGTAAAAATTTTTCAGCGCCAAGTTCGCGCGAGTTTTTCGAATTTTTCGTACATTTTTATCAGGAATAAAATTGGTACGTGTATATAGTAGGTAAACTTAACGAGTTAAATAGTGTCCCGATACACACAGTTTCCTGTAATTAAATAGTCCAGAGCAAGGAGTTAATACCATGCGATAAAATATTAATAAACTATCAGAATATTCGAAAAAATTCACGGAGAATGTAAATAAAATAGCAGATCTAAATTAAATATACCTATAGAATTCCATTTTTCGTGCATGTTCGATATTTAAAAAAGATATTCCAATCGGTCCACCGAGAAGCCTCTAAAATCCCCATGATTCGCTCCGAACTCAATTTCATTAAATCCCTCGGTAAAAAAGTAATATTCCCAATAGCTAGATACATGTACACGCAATAATCACCGTATATATCCGTATATATCCGAAAAACCCACAGCAAACCCAACCTAGAGGAAAAGGGATAAAAGTGAAGCAAATAAATAAATAATAGAAAAATGCCTGGTTCCCCGAGATCAGTGTGCGAACCCACTGGAAGACAAAAGAGCGGAACGCATCGGTGACTGGGAATCGCATGCATTTTTCATCGGCGAGCAACGAAAGAGGAATAAATTAGAAGCGAAGGCGCCACGGGAAGTGGAAGCAAGGGGTAGGCAAGCCGCGAGACGGAAAGAGGGCGAACGAGAGGGAAAGCAGGCCGACCTACGCCAACAATGAGTCAAGTGCGTTGGCTCTTGAATATTTAAGACATATTCGCCTTTAAAGGCGAGCCGACGAGCGGATCGAACGCGGCCAACCTCAGCTCGGCAACCTGATTTTCAAGGGCGGAACCGGCAGAGGAAGAGGCAGAGGCAGAGGCAGAGCCGCGAAATTGGGAATGGTCATGTCGCATGGTCGTCGGGTATCGATCCTGTTCCCTCCACCCTGACGGCCATCG